GCCTGATTTGGAGCTTCCATTTTGGATAACTGCAGTGTTTCCACATAAGTATGATGGCCCATCATTTACTGGGCTTCTTCCTATTGGATTCCATATATTTGAGTTTTCTCGAGTCTTTAATGCCCTATAAATTGTGCTGGTGAACAATATTCACAACTTGTACCAGAATGTGATAAGTCTTGTAGACAATTGAGTATGAACAAAATGATTTTATTGGTTAAAATGTTTATTATTATTTTTTAGAGATAATGAGTTTGAGTATGTCGTTTGTAAGAATAATTAAGTATTTATTGTCAGATGATTGAAAATCTTTTAAATAGATACTACCTTGTAATTACTCCAGACTAATAGATTTTTTTAGACAATTAAAATTAAACTTTTTATTTAGATTTTTATTATTATAATTCTATTGAAATTTTATTACAAATACAAGTAATTTTATGTACACGTTTTCCTTATCACCTTTATATAATAATACTTTAACTCTATTTTTATTTATATACATGCGAAATTTTGATTATATTATTTTTATTTATTTATTTCAATCAATGTGTATTTTTTATTTAATTTTTTATAATATCAACTTATACTACCAAAACTGAAAATTTACTCTCCTTTTTTGTTGACAATGGTTCGGAGCTCTTCCTAATTCACAGGCCCATCAGTTAGCATATAAGTTTGTTAGTGAAAAAAGCCTAAAGATACCCCAACTCGGACTGGAGTCTATGGCCCTAATATTGAAAGGAGAGAGAGCCGAAACTGAATTTCGAAAAGAAAAAAATTATTAGTTTAGTGATTATAAGATAATATATATTTAAAATATTTTTAATTATTTGATAATAAATACACAAACACCTTTACAAATGTCGTACTTAACTCGATACCTTTAAAAAACAATCATCTCTTTAATCATTATGATTACTTAACTCGTATTGAATTTAAGAATTTGAATAACTCATTCTCCAAATTAAAAGTTAAATCTAACCAAATTCCAATGTTTCAATCAGTCATTCTCCATACTACAAGCTAAATCAAACCATTTCAATATTGTTTAACATTTGACAATTTTATTTATAGTTGAAGAGTTAAATAAGATATTATTTATTATATTATCCTCTTCACTACAATAAAGACATCTAATGTACGTTGAACATTTTGTATAATGATCTTTTTATAAATTTTGAAAATTTAGTGACCGAGAAGATGATTTTAATTTAGTTTAGTTTAGGGATCATTTGTATACTATATCATTATATATATATATCATATTCTTTAATTTAAACGATTAGATTAACCGTTATAGTGGTTATTGAATTTTCCTAATCGCTAAGATTAATCATTACTAACACTTTACAAGTTAACTTGTAACCTATTGTAATTTTTTTCACATAGTTATTACTTCTCGTAAGCATAATGAAACTATATTTCCAATACATATTATATTAAAATTTTCAGGAAAAAATACTTAATTAGAGAGATTTTAAATACAAACTCTATACTTTTTTGAAGGGAATGCCAACTGTATTTATTAAGAGAGATAATTCTTACAAAGAAAAAATAAATAGCATAAGAAAGGAAAACTAAAGAGTTTGATAAAGCAGAATGGAAACAATATATCTCTCCAGGGAAGAAACAGTCCGACCGAGCCAAACTCCAATCGAGAAAATGACAATGAACACATAAGTTGGAGTGACAGAATATCGGGGGCAGGGGGGGATAAGAGATTGAACCCCCAAGTTGGAATCAAAGACCCTGTCAAGCTAGATTTAAAGAGGGTCAAGTGCTCGCCTATCGACCGTCAAAGAGAAGCTGTTAACGGTGGAGCTTCCCCAATCCGATACCTGTCATACGAACTCTATACTTGATATAAGAAAATTAAAAAAAATACATAATGATATTACATAGTAATTAGTATTCTACATACTACATACAATCAAATATCATATTTATCAAATTACAAAGTTCAACACGTAATAATAGTTCAATATACTATCAAAGTTTCAAACACAAATTTTTTTTTTTTGGTAACGAGAGATATTATTTTAGGTCTCGTTAAAAATAGTTAAATCTATTTGGAAGAAAAGAGTACCCATCATAATATTACAACAACAAAGCATTCAAGAAAATCTCAACAAAACAAACCGAGAAGCTAACAACTTAAATGGCAGAACAAACAAAACATACAAACAACAAACTATCATCAAAACACTTCAGGGACATCACGCTCATTAACAGTAGAAATAATTATTCCATCAGCATGCAGCAACTCAAAGATTAATTGATGGTTAATCAATTGTCAAATATTAACAGTAAAATAATTAACTCAAAGATATTTAACAAACAGAAAACAACCATTATACTTTTACTTCCCTTAAAAATATATCTATAATTTAATAATGATTAATTGATGGTTAATCAATTGTCAAAATTCACAATTGTAACCATTAATAATTATTTTTGACACTTCGATTAATCGAAATTGTTTAGTATTAACTATTCAATAAGTTAATCTGTAAAATGTAATAGTTACCCAATTAACGATTATGATTAACAAGTATTGCTTAATTTGCACACCCCTAGAGGTAACTGCATAGGATGCTCCAAACTATTACCTTCGCTCTAAATTGATCCATAAACTTTAAATTTTTTTATATCAGGCCTAAATTATGACTTCAATTTTAAATTAGTCATTAAATTTTAAAATATTTTATATCAATCCTCAAACTATCAGTATCATTCTCTTTTGACCATTCTATTAATGTGTTGTTAACTCTATTAGTTAAAAAAATTAATTTATTTTTGAAGGTATTGAGAGTTGAACCTGTGATTTAATTTTTTTAGGACCTTCAAAAATGAATTATTTTTTAGGTCACATGTTCAGGCCTAAATTATGACTTCAATTTTAAATTAGTCATTAAACTTTAAAACATTTTATATCAATCCTCAAACTATCATTATCATTCTATTTTGACCATTCTATTATTGTGTTGTTAACTCTATTAATTAAAAAATTAATTTATTTTTAAAGGTTGTGAGAGTTGAACTTGTGATCTAAAAAAAAATTTTAGGACCTTCAAAAATGAATTTTTTCAGGTCACATGTTCAATTCCCAAAACTATAAAAAATAAATTATATTTTTTAGAATGTTCAGTTCCCAAGACCTTCAAAAACCAATAGAGTTAAACACACATTAACGGAAGGATCGAAATGGAATGATACCAATAGTTTAAGGATTGGTATAAAACATTTTAAAATTTATGTACCAATTTAGAATGGGTCATTGTTTGATGACTAGTATAGAATGTTATAAAGTTTAGAGACCAATTTATAATTAAAGTCATAAGGATTGGTATATAACATTTTAAAATTTATGTACCAATTTAAAATGGGTCATTGTTGGATGACTAGTATAGAATGTTGTAAAGTTTTAGAGACCAATTTATAATTAAATTTGTGGTTTGGGGAACTCCTACGAAATTAATTCATATTATAAAAGGAAAATATCCTCCGATTCCAGAAAGACGTCAGCGGTTATCAAAGACTGAATCATATTGATATACTTGGTCCGAAAAAGGAAAAAAAAGGTACAAGTGTCCTTCTAAAAGTCAACAGTGTGTTCAATTTTAAATTATTTTCCAACGTTATAAGAATTAAACTGTTGATTTTTACAAAGTTCTAAGGATCTTTAAAAATAAAGTGATTTTTAAGTCACATCTCCAATTTCTAATAACATAAAAATATAAATTAATTTTCTTAAAAAATCGAAAGTTCACTTGCTTATACTTTTAAAAATTAATAGACTTAACGATATGTTAATAAAAAGATCAAAATGTAATAATACCGATATTTTAAAACTGATATAAAATAATTTAAAGTTTAAGGACTAATTTAGAATGAGTAATCATTTGATGACTGATATAAAATGTTATAAAATTTAGGGACCAATGTATAACTAAAGTCATAATTTGGGACCTCCTACGAAATTAACTAAAGACGTCAAGGACTCAAATCCTTGCTCCAAAAAAAGGAAGAAAAGTGCAAGTGTCCTTCTCAATGTCAACAGTTGTGTTTTCTTGATGATTCAGAAACCTTATATATGGCCATGTGACTGTGATCCCTTCCCAAATGCAACAAGTGTCGAAGGAAAGGTTAATTCAGATCTCTAATTGCTTTGCGTTTGTTTTTATTCAACACTTCGAAGCAAAGCTCCACAGATTCTCTCTCTGGGGCAACCTCTGGTTCTGTGAACACAAATCCAAAGTTCGAGGCTTTTTAGTTTTTCGTACTAAACAGGTATTACCCATTATTCATTACAATGAAATCTTTGTGTTTTCCCTTTGTTTCTGTTGATTTCCTCAAATAATTTTTTTTCCTTTCCCTCTGTTTCTTGTTGTTGTTCTTGAATATTTATTGACGTAGCATCTGAATTCCGGATGAATGGATTAGCAATAGATATGAACGTGTCCTTTATTTTGTTTTGTTTTGGAGGGTTATTTAATCCTAAACTGTTTTACATTTTGTTGTATAGGTGCTTATTATTATTTTTATTCTTTCCAGTAGATCTTATAAAAACATTGAAAACTTAAATTTTTGGAGAAAGATGATGATGGTTTTGTGGGATCAAGCATTAGCGAAACTCCACTTTAAGCGGTTTGGAATTATTCTTTGTTTTAGAGTGGTTTTCTTAAAGGTACTTTAGGACAATATTCTACATATCAAACTTGCGGCTAAGCTCAGTAACCATAAAAAAACAAAAAGAGATCCGATCCGTGATCGCACTTCTAGCCATTTTAATGGGTGTAAGAGATTGAAGCAAATTTACTTTTCTTTAAGTAGAACAAAGTGAAAGAAAAAGGGGACTTTTCTTTTGTTGTCAGGTGGCTTATTTGCAAAGTAATGATCTTAGTGGTGTGTAGCCTTCGTGGGTTGTCACTAAAAAGCACCTTTTTGTAAGATTCTGATGTTTCACAAGCTATATATCTCATTGCAGGAACGAAGATTGAAGTGTTATTTCCTGTGAGTGTTGTCTGTGGGAAATGGCTTCAAATACTACGGTTCTACAGAAATGTCCGTTGCCGATGAAGGCTACATCAAATGGCCTCTTCCAGGGTGATAACCCCCTTGATTTTGCTCTTCCTCTTGCCATTCTGCAGATATGTCTGGTAGTTGTACTTACAAGGGGACTTGCTTTTCTTCTAAGGCCAGTGAGGCAGCCACGTGTGATTGCAGAGATAATTGTGAGTTCTTTATGTTCTAACTTCTGCAAATCATGTAATAAATTCCCATCTGAGTGTAACTTATGGATATAATTGTAGTTCCCACTTCGATGGTTTTTACATCTGAAAGTTGAAAATGTTTCCAATTCTTAGGTGTTTTGAGTACAAAATTGATTGCCTTCTGGAAGCAACACAATAGTCCGTTGAAAGTCGATACATTATTGTAGGTTTTCCAAGAAATGTGAAAGCCTGTGATGTTAGACATGTGATCTGCTTCTCTATAATTGTACTCCCGGTTCCTCATTCACTTTTATTGTCTTATTGTCTAGTGTAAAATAGTCAAACAGCCTACAAACTTTCATCATTGATGAAAACAAAGTTCAAAGCAAGTCTAAATATATTATTCATTAAGCATCAGCTGCTGCAAAAAGTTACATTTTGGTTTCCAGTGGATGTGCATCAATATAGATGAAAATGTTTTCATTAATTATAGTTTATGTTTGATGATAAAATTATTAACTTTTCTCTTCATATCTGCCAGGGAGGAATTTTACTTGGGCCGTCTGTTCTTGGTAGAAGTAAGAGCTACTTGCATGCCATATTTCCTCCGAAGAGTCTTACCGTATTGGATACCCTAGCAAACATTGGTCTCATTTTCTTTTTATTCCTTGCTGGTCTAGAAATAGACCCCAAATCCCTCCGAAGAACCGGTAAAACATCCCTTGCAATCGCTGTTGCTGGCATAGGCCTTCCTTTTTCTTTAGGAATTGGTTCTTCAGTTTTGCTCCGTGCAACTATCTCAAAAGGTGTAAACGCATCTGCTTTTCTAGTGTTTATGGGTGTTGCTCTTTCTATTACTGCCTTTCCTGTCTTAGCTCGCATTCTGGCAGAGTTGAAGCTTTTAACGACAGAAGTCGGAAGAATGGCGATGTCAGCTGCAGCTGTTAACGATGTAGCTGCATGGATTCTACTTGCACTTGCTGTTGCCCTATCAGGATCCAACAATTCTCCTGTTGTATCACTGTGGGTCTTCTTGTCTGGGTGTGTTTTTGTCATTTGTTTGACTCTTATTTTACCCCCGTTCTTCAAATGGATGGCTTGTCGATGCCATGATGGTGAGCCAGTAGAAGAGGTATACATATGTGCTATATTAGCTGTTGTTCTGGCTGCTGGGTTCATAACTGATGCTATTGGAATTCATGCCATGTTTGGTGCTTTTGTGGTTGGAGTTCTTTTTCCAAAGGAAGGACCATTTGCACATGCTCTTGTGGAAAAAGTTGAGGATCTTGTATCTGGGTTGTTCTTGCCATTATACTTTGCATCAAGTGGACTGAAGACGAATGTTGCTACGATTCAGGGGCTCCAATCCTGGGGCCTTCTGGCTTTGGTTATTTTTACAGCTTGTTTCGGGAAGATCCTTGGGACTGTTGTGGTGTCCCTTTTCTGCAAAGTGCCTCTTCGAGAAGCTCTAGCGCTTGGGTTCCTTATGAATACCAAAGGGCTGGTGGAACTAATTGTTCTCAACATTGGGAAGGATAGAAAGGTAAACTATGGTTCTTCTTATTGACTAGGGTAATTGCCTTGTTTCATTATGGTTTTTATGAAATTAATGATGATTTTGGCTGTTGAACTTTCAGGTTCTAAATGATCAAACATTTGCTATTATGGTTCTAATGGCACTCTTTACTACCTTCATTACCACACCAGTTGTTCTAGCAGTTTATAAGCCTGCAAGAAAGAGAAAAGTTGACTACAAATATAGAACCATTGAAAGAAAAAATCCAGATACTCAACTTAGAATATTGGCATGTTTCCACAGTGCAAGAAATATCCCATCAATGATAAATCTCCTCGAGGCTTCACGAGGAGTCAAGAAGCGTGAAGGACTTTCTGTGTATGCTCTGCACCTGATGGAGCTGTCTGAGAGGTCATCTGCCATATTAATGGTACACAAGGCTAGGAAAAATGGCTTCCCTTCTGGAATAAGGGCTGGGACTCCCGTTGTGATCATGTTGTTGTGGCATTTGAGGCTTTCCAACAACTGAGTCAAGTCACTGTCCGGTCGATGACTTCAATATCCTCAATGACTGATATGCACGAGGATATTTGTACCACTGCTGAGAGTAAGAGAGCTGCTATCATAATCCTTCCTTTCCATAAGCACCAGAGAATTGATGGTTCTTTGGAGACCACTAGGACAGACTTTCGTTGGGTCAACCGGAGGGTTCTTGAACATGCACCTTGTTCTGTTGGAATTCTAGTTGATCGTGGTCTTGGTGGAACCACCCATGTATCTGCAAGTAATGTCTCCTATTTGATAACTGTTCTTTTCTTCGGGGGTCATGATGATCGTGAAGCCCTTGCTTATGGGGCTCGAATGGCTGAGCACCCCGGTATCAGTTTAAGTATCATTCGCTTTGTGGTGGAACCTGGAACTGTCGGAGAAATCGCTACAGTTGATATGCAAGAGAACTCCAGCCTCAAATCAATGTCATTGGACGAAGAATTTCTTTCCGAGTTTAAGCAGAAGATATCAAAGGATGATTCTATCCTATACGAAGAAAAAGCCGTCCGTAATGTCTTGGAAACTATAGCTGCAATTCGTGGGGCTGGCCGCTGCAACCTTTTCCTTGTGGGACGAGTGCCAGATGGTGAATTGGCCTTAGCTTTAAGGAGAAGTAGTGAATGCCCAGAACTGGGGCCTATTGGTGGCTTGCTGATATCTCCATTTTTCAACAACAGCATCAGTTTTGGTGATTCAGCAGTACAATGACAATGCATCCCTGGATCTGGCTGCAGACATGTTGGAAGAATCTGAATCTAACTAATTATCTTCTCGGCCTCAACATTAATCCTGATGGCTACGTAATAATAATAATTTCTATTTTGCTGATGTTAGCATCGTCTTTCTTTTCCAAATGTTTACATCACATTTCAGAATCCAATGTTTCATTGTTTTTATCTGCCGCTTTAACTTAAAAACATACACCATGTTCTACTGAGCAAACTCTTAACAGGATAACACTAGTTTCGAGTTGCATTTGGATACACCATGTTATACACAATACATTTAGATATTGTTTTTATCTGTTACTCTAACTTAAAAGCTTAAATCATGTTCTACTGAGCAAACTCTTAACAGATAACATCAGTTTAGAGTTGCATTTGGATACACCATGTTATACCCAATGCATTTGGATATTGTTTTTATCTGCTACTCTAACTTAAAAGCATACACAATGTTCTAATGAGCAAACTCATAACAGGATAACACCAGTTTCGAGTTGTATATGGATACGCCATGTTATACACAATGCATTTGGATATTGTTTTTATCTGCTACTCTAACTTAAAAGAATACACCATGTTCTACTGGGCAAACTCTTAGCAAGATAACACCAGTTTCGAGTTGTATATGGATACGCCATGTTATACACAATGCATTTGGATATTGTTTTTATCTGCTACTCTAACTTAAAAGAATACACCATGTTCTACTGGGCAAACTCTTAGCAAGATAACACCAGTTTCGAGTTGCATTTGGATACACCATGCTATACACAATGTATTTGGATATTGTTTTTATTTGCTACTCTAAGTTAAAAGCATACATCGTATTCTAATGAGCAAACTTTTAACAGGATAACACCATTTTCGAGTTGCATTTGGATACACCGTGTTATACAGAATGCATTTGGATATTGTTTTTATCTGCTACTCTAACTTAAAAGCATCCACCATGTTCTACTGAGCAAACTCTTAACAAGATAACACCAGTTTCAAGTTGCATTTGGATACACCATGTAACACCCCCAACCCGTATCCGAGTCCGATGTGTCACATTAACTTTTCAAAATATTTCCTTTACAAATTGGTTAAAATCTAAATCCAAAACTCGAGAAAGTGAATGATTTTCATTAACTAAAACGTTTAGTCTTACAAAACCCACCAGAGCATATTCAATACAATTCTTTTAGTACATGCCAACTGCAATTAATATAACAATATACATAGATTTCTAAATACTTTTCTGATCTGAACTTTGTAAAGGAGATACTGACCCGTCTTGCCCTCTTAACTTTTCTTTTAGCTTTCCAGAACCTACGTGTGAAACACTCACACGCTAAGTCGATGACTTAGTGAAGCATAAATAAACTTAAATATAAGATCTCATTACTAACTCCTACAATGAACATTTCATGCAATCCGTATTAAACTATAACACATATTATAGATCAGAACATCAATACAAACATATTCATATCATCTCACAATTATTATTATTATTATTATTATCATGTATATATCTTATTCGCATGCTCTTGTATCTAACAATATGCACATCACAAACAAGTATATCATTTCACCATGATTACACATAACATCGTATCAAATGGATTTATTTATTTTCTTTAAAAGTCTTATTTTCGTTCTTTATCTTTTAGTCATATGTTCTTGTATCTATTCTTCTTAACCAAATTATATACACATCATCATATAACATTATCACTTCACACCATAAAATTACAAACAAAGCACATAATATCATACACGGTTATTTTCTATTATCTTCTTTATTAGCCCATGTACACATGTGAGAACTATAGATACGTGAGTCTATAGAGGTTGTGCACTAATGCTGTCACCACAGCTCGTATAAATGCACCAAAGTGCCACGTAGAATTGCACCGAAGTGCCACGTAGAAATACACCGAAGTGTCATATAAGATGTCCCTAAGGACCACATAGAAAATTCCTTAAGAATCATATACATATTCCAAGGACCAAGTATGTGTCTCAAAGAACCTCATAGATGTTCCAAAGGATACATATATGTCTCAAAGGACCGCGTAGACCCTCGACTCTTGGCATGCCAACTATACCCTAGCTCTCAAGACACATAACATGGACATTATCTTTTATATCTTTTCACATATTCATGTAAACATATCACATATACATGTAATCACGTAGTCATGTCAATTCTCATATGATTTCATATTCATATGCCACATGGCTTATAATACTTCTCATGTGTTCCTATAAACATGTCATATCATATGACTTATATCTTTTCATATAGTTTATGTTTTAATCTCTTATATTCACATAATTCAATATTGTTGAACTTGGTTCACTTCTCATATCATCTCACCACTTAATTTCACCTAACTCATATTCTTTCTGTTATTATCACACATTCACATATACACATAGTCTCTTAGTTCTTTCACATAGTTCATTATCACATTTTTATAAGATCAAACACAGTCACGTAATTCATTTCCATTTAATTCACATATAGTAATGTCATATACTTATATTACATAATAATTCCACTTGTCTATATCTTATGTCCATTTCCCTGCTCAAATCATATAACACCTATAACCTTCTCATAGGATTTTATAGTGCTTCATTTTATAACTTCTATATCATAAACTCCTTTAAATATATACAACCTTCCTACAAGGCTTATCCTCTAGTTCCATATTATCATCTACCTTCATGTCCCCTAGTTTATATATTATTCTCATATAGTCTCATAATTCATTATTTTATGATTTCTATTTTTGTTCTCGAAAGTCTTCTCTCACTTTTCCTTTAATACCATAAGTCTATTATACTAGTTTCCTCTAAACGTAACTCATGTAATTTATGTCTTGTTATCATATATTCATCTAAACATATATTACCTGTTTATAATCACTTAACTCATATAATCTAACTTATACTTGATTATCTTATGTTCACATATATTTATATCAAATGATTCCTTAGCTTATAACTTATGTCATGTGTTCATTTCATTCCTTATATCCTTATCTCATATCTTATTTCATATTCCTATATAATCATATAGATCATTTGCACTTTTTCACATAACTTATCACACTACTCTATACTTATACGAATCATATAACATACATAATAACATATCAACACATATATTCATGCACGCATATAAATTATCACAAACACATACTTCTATCTAGGAATTCATATATTTAACTATTGGAAATAGACTTATCGCAAGTTTTATTTCCCATTAAACATCATATACTAAATAATGTGCACTCACCTGGCCTCACTAGTCAATACTGATCTCTTATCTTCCCCCCTGATCGATCTTACTTGTCAATGGTTCCGAAACTCGTTTAGGTTATGTATCTACATAAATATAATTTTCCAGACAATTATAAGAAGCCAAAACCTTATAATTCGATACCAAAAACTTGAGCTAACTTAATGAACCAAAAGTAAATTTTCACATTAGGGTGTATCGGTACACTACGGGTGTATCGGTACCCAAATTATCTTCGAAATTCACGGGCATCGGTACACTCCTTAGTGTATCGATACGCTATGAAGATATTCTTCAAATTTGGTCTTAGTGTATCGGTACCCGTTGAATGTGTACCGATACACACCAGCCCATAATTCATATTTAAGCCCAAAAAGCACTCCAATTTCCCTTAAACACTTCATATTTCATCCCCAATCATATTCTTAACTCACATACGTATGTTTAAACTCATTAATATCCATTTATCTCATCTTAAACTTCAAAATCCTATCCACCACATGAAATTAAAAAATCATACTAAATTTCAACATGTTTAAAATTCAATTCTAACACTTCATACCTCTTAACTCAACCCTTGACAAGTCAAATTTAGTTTCAAATTCCACTTATCAACTTTATTCCAAGTTTTCATTCAAAAACTCTTAATCTTTAATCTCTCTTAACTCCTTCATCTTTTGATGTTAAGATAACTTAAGCTTTCGTTAAGCTTAGTTATCATCTAATGATCATAAACCAACCTTTAATTTAGCAAATAATCAACTAATCAAGAAACTTACCTTTGCTATTGAAGTTCACAGCTGTAGAAGAAGAAAGCTCTGGAGAAATTTCTCCTGTCTAAGTGGTTTCCTTATCTTATAAAGGAAAATAAAAAAATCTTCTTTGCCAAATGACCATTTTACCCGATAATTTATTCAATAATTACTCAACAGCCTTCATAAAATATTTCCAATAAGTCATTGAACTATTCAATTATCCTACTTTAATCCCCAATTTCTAAAATTTTACAATCTAGTCATTAACCCGGTATTAAGGATGTTACACACCATGTTATACACAATGCATTTGGATATTGTTTTATCGGCTACTCTAACTTAAAAGCATACACCATGTTTTAATGAGCAAACTCTTAACAGGATAACACCAATTTCGAGTTGTATTTGGATACACCATGTTATACACAATACATTTGGATATTGTTTTTATCTGCTACTCTAACTTAAAAGCATACACCATGTTCTACTGAGCAAACTCTTAACAGGATAACACTAATTTCGAGTTGCATTTGGATACACCATGTAACAACCCAGAAAATTTGGAAAAAATATATTAATTAAGTAATTTGGCAAAATTTGAGGATTAAATCAGAAGTTTTCAAAACTTGTGGCCATTTTAAAAGTTGAAGGAGATTCAGGGACCAAGTCTTGAATTCCTCCAAGGAGTGTCGACAGGCTTGATGATTTAAGCGTATTTTCTGATTGTAAATCAGAAAACACAAATGCTAAAATTCTTAAACTTTCTTTCTCTCACACCTCCATTTTCAAGCCTAATTCTGACGCCATCCGACTTCCAATCGTAAAATTGAAACCACCGTCGAGTTCATCTTCGACCCGTGAACAAAACCAGTAAACCAATTATAGCGAAACACTACCAAACGACATGAATTTCGAGTCAAAGTCTCGATATTTTTTAGCACCACCGCCGGGAAAATCTTAAATTCATCTCCGATCGTTGATTGGTTTTCGATACCTCCCGTACCATCGTGTTCCTT